TAAATCATATATCTAATTTAAAAAAACTTATTTAAGATATATTTAAAGAAAGCTCTTCCAACTTAATAATAAGAGACAAATAACTCGATCTAAAAATAAGCGAACAATCTAAATAGATATTTTGCCAATGAAGATATACGAATGGCCAATAAGAACATGAAAAAATGCTCAATATTACTAACCATCACGGTGATACAAATTAAAACTACAATGAGATATCACTTTGAAGCAATTAAGATGGCAGAGGAGTAGGGGGGCCCTAAGCTTGCCTTGTCCCTCAAACACAGCTAGATAATTATCAAATCATGCTGAACCACCCAAGAAATCAATCTGAGGACTAAGAGAACAAAACTGCAAGTCTACAAGTTGAAAAGTGACCACCTTCTGGAAGTAGGAGGTGTGGAGTTGATTTGGGGGAGATAAGAACTATAGGTGCTTTGGAGGAGAGGGAGCTCTGCTTATGGAGACTACCACAAGGTATTATAAGTGGAGAAATGCAAAATCTGAAGTCTTAGAAGTCTGCCACCACCAGGGTCATGCCTGGCTTAAACGTGCTTCAGTAGGGAAGGAGGGCAGAGACCTGGGAGCAGACGGCATGGTCTGAGGATTCCCTGGGTTGCAGGAAGAATGGGTGCTGCCCACATGCTGCACTGTTCCCAAGCATAGGAGCAGGGACTCTAGGTGAGGGCAGCAAGCCTGGATACCCGCTGTCTGCCTTGTCATAACTCTGAACTGCTGTGTGATCATGGGACTGCTTTCCTGGCACAGGTGGTAAACAGCAAAAGTGCAGCTAGACCCTGCCCCCAGAGGATCAGCACAGATCTGCATTGCAGGGGTCCCTAAAATTTGGAGTTTTGAAACCCAGCCACACATCTGAAATAAAACAGTTTGGACACAAGCAAGGTGAAGGCATGGATCTGACGAAGCCAGGGGCATAAGAGGGGTGATGGTTTGCTCTTTGGTGAGGGCTTCCTGAAGAGTAGAGGGCATGAACTCTCAACTCTGAGTTAGAGAGCAGGATGCCATCATTTTCACCCAGCCCATCATTTTGTAAGCCTTCAGGGTGCAAAACAGGGCCACCTAGTGGTGGCCAGAGCCGCTTACACCAAGCCCCGCCCAGCTGCACACTGTAAGAACATCTCCATTATCGCCAGTACTGAGAATCAGTGCAACAGGCCCCCTACCCCAGAAGACCAGTATAAATACCTTGCACACACCGAGTCTACTGATCATAGAGTGCTGCAGAGCTTCAGATCTAGGAGAAATAAAATCCAGCTTCCTTTTTATTTTTATTATTTTTAAATTACTTTTTTTAAAAAAGTTATTTTTTAAACTTTTATTTACATATATTTTTCATATATTTTTATTTTTTATTAGATCGAGTCCCACATCAGGCTCCCAGCATGGGGCCTGCTTCTCCCTCTGCCTGTGTCTCTGCCTCTCTGTGTGTCTGTGTCTGTCATGAATAAATAAATAAATAAAATCTTTAAAAAATTCTCTAACTTTTTCTAACAAGCAGAACAAAATACACCCAGGATCTAGTTTTTTTTTTTTTTTTGGATGAAATGACAAGATGGAGGAATTCGCCCCAAAAGAAAAAACAAGAAGTAGAACTAAAGGCTGGGGATTTATTCAATACAGATATAAGTAAGATGTCTGAACTAGAATTTAAAATAACAATTACAGGGATACAAGCTGGACTTGAATAAAGCATAGGAGACACTAGGGAATCCTTTACTACAGAGATAAAAGAACTAAAATCCAGTCAGGCTGAAATTAAAAATTCTATAATTATGATGCAAACCCGAATATTGCCATAACATGAGGATGGATGAAGCAGAGGAAGAATCAGTGACAAAGAAGATAAAGTTATGGAAAATGATGAAGCTGAAAAGAAAAGGGAAAGAAAAGTAAAGAACCACACAGGTAGACTTAAGGAACTTAGTGACTTATTAAGACATAGTAGCATTCATATCATAGGAGTCATAGAAGATGAAGAGATAAAGGGGCAGAAATTTTATTTGAGCCAATTATAGCTGAAAACTTCCTTAATCTGGAGAAGGACACAGACATCATAATAGAAGAAGCACAGAGAACTTCCATTAAATTCAACAAAAGCTGGTCATTTCCAAGGCATATCATAGTCAAATCCTCCAAATACAGAGACAATGAAAGATCCTGAAAGCAGCAAGAGGAAAAAAGTCCTTAACCTACAAAGGAAGACAGCAGGTTTGCAGTAGATCTGTCCACAGAAGCTTGACAGGCCTGGAGAGAATGGCAGGGTATATTCAATGTGCTAAATGGGAAAAATATGCAGCCAAGAATACTTTATCCAGCAAAGCTGTCATTCAGAATAGGAGAGATAAAGAGTTTCCCAGACAAACAAAAACAAAAGGAGTTCATGACTATCTAACCAGCCCTGCAAGAAATATTAAGGGGGACTCTTTGGGTGGGGAAAAAAAGACCAAAAGCAACAAAGACTAGAAAGGAATAGAGAATACTACCAAACACCAACTCTACCAGTAACACAATGGCATTAAATTCATATCTTTCAACAATCACTCTGAATTTAAATGGACTAAATGCTCCAATCAAAAGACATAGAGTATCAGAATGGGTTAAAAAAAAACCCAGGATCCACCTATATACTACCCACAAAAGATTCATTTTAGACCTAAAGATACCTGGAGGCTGAAAGTGAAGGGATGGAGAACCATCTATCATGCTAATGAGTGTCAAAAGAAAACAGGATCAGACATACTTAGATCAGACAAACTAGATTTCAAACCAAACACTGTAACAAGAGAAGAAGAAGGGAACTATATCATAATTACGGGATCTATCCATTAAGAAAATCTAACAATTGTAAGTATTTATGCCCCTAACTTGGGAGCAGCCAAATACATAAATCAATTAATAACAAACTTGAGGAAACTCTTTGATAATAATACAATAATAGTAGGAGACTTTAACACCCCACTTAAACATAAATGGGCAAATCATCTAAGCAGAATATCAATAAGGAAACAATGGCTTTGAAAGACATACTAGACCAGATGAACTTAATAGATATATTCAGAACATTTCATCCTAAAGCAGCAGAATACACATTCTTTTCAAGTGCACATGGGACATTCTCCAGAATATACTGGGTCACAAATCAGGCCTCAACAAATACAAAAAGACTGAGATCATACCATGCATATTTTTAGACCAGCATACTATGAAACTTGAGGTCAACCACAAGAAATAACTTGGAGAGACCACAAATACCTGGAGCTTAAACAACATGCTACTAGCAAATGAATGAGTTAGCCAGGAAATCAAAGAAGATATAAAAAATACATGGAAGCAAATGAAAATGAAAATATGACAGTCCAAAACGTTTGGGATACAGCAAAGGCAATCCTAAAAGGGATGTATATTGTAAAATAGGCCTACTTCAAGAAACAAGAAAAGTCTCAAATATACAACCTAACCTTATACCTAAAGAAGCTAGAAAAGGATCAGCAAATAAAGTCTATAGCCAGCAAGATGGAAATAATAAAGATTAGAGCAGAAATAATATAGGAAAAAACAGTAGAACTGATCAAGGAAACTAAGAGCTGATTCTTTGAAACAATTGATATAATTAATAAATCCCCAGCCAGACTTACCAAAAAGAAAAATGTCCCAAATAAATAAAATCATGAATGAAAGAGGAGGGATCACAACCAATAGCACAGAATACAACTGTAAGAGAATATTATGAAAAACAATATGCCAATAAATGGCAATCTGGAATAAATGGACAAATTCCTAGAAACGTACCAATTGCCAACAATCAAATAGTGAAATAGGAAGAAATAGAAAATTTGAACAGACCTAAAACCAGCAAAGAAACTGAATCACTAATCAAAAATCTTGCAACAAACAAAAGCCCAGGACCAGAGGGCTTCCCAGGGAAATTCTACCAGACATTTAAAGAAGAATTAATACCTATCCTTCTAAAACTGTTCCAAAAAATAGAAATGGAAGGAAAACTTTGAAACCCCTTCTATTCATCCAGCATTATCTTGATTCCAAAACCAGATAAAGACTCCACTAAGAAGGAGAATTATAGGCAAATATACATGATGAACATGGATGCAAAAATTCTCAACAAGATACTAGCAAATCAAATCCAACAGTACATTAAAAAATTATTCACCACAATCAAGTGAAATTTATTCCTGGGCTTCAGGGGTGGTTCAATATTTGCAAATCAATCAACACAGGACACCCCATTAATAAAAGAAAGAATAAGAACCATACAATCTTCTTGATAGATGCAGAAAAAGCATTTGACAAACTACAACATCCATTTTGATTTTTAAAAAAACTCATCAAATATACCTCAACATAATAAAGGCCATCTATGAAAAATACACAGCTAAAATCATCCTCAATGGGGAAAAACTGAGAACTTTTTACTCTATGGTCAGGAATGAGACAGGGATATCCAGTCTCACTATTGCTATTTAACAGTCCTGGAAGTCAGCCTCAGCAAACAGACAACAAAAAGAAATAAAGGCATCCACATCAGCAAGGAAGAAGTCAAACTTTCACTCTTTGCTGACAACATAATACTCTGTAGAAAATCAAAAAAACTCCACCAAAAATTACTAGAATTAATACATGAACTCAGCAAAGTCACAGGATATAGAAGCAATGTACAGAAATCTGTTGCATTTCTATATACCAATAATGAAGCGCAGAAAGAGAAATCAAGGAACTGATCCAATTTACAATTGCACCAAAATCATAAGATGCCTAAGAATGAACCTAACCAAAGAGGTAAAAGATCTGTACTCGGAAAGGTATAGAATATTTATTAAAGAAATTGAGGAGGACACAAAGAAATGGAAAACATTCCATGCTCATGAATTGGAAAAAAAAAAAAACATTGTTAAAATGTCTATACTACTGAAAGCAATCTACACATTCAATGCACTCCCTATCAAAATACCACCAGAGCCGCTCCTGGTGCTGCTTGTGTGCTCGTTTGGTGCGGACCTGGTACCTCTTTTGTGAAGCGGCAGCTGAGGAGACTCCGGCACTCGCCATGGCTGACGAAAAGCCCAAGGAAGGAGTGAAGACTGAGAACAACGATCATATTAATTTGAAGACGGTGGGGCAGGATGGTGCTGTGGTGCAGTTTAAGATTAAGAGGCATACACCACTTAGTAAACTAATGAAAGCCTATTGTGAACGACAGGGTTTGTCAATGAGGCAGATCAGATTCCGATTTGATGGGCAGCCAATCAATGAAACAAACACACCTACACAGTTGGAAATGGAGGATGAAGATACAATTGATGTGTTCCAGCAGCAGACAGGAGGTGCCTACTAAAAAGGGAACCTGCTACTTTACTCCAGAACTCTGTTACTCCAGAACTCTGTTCCTCCAGACCAAGAAGACATTTTCAAATAGAAGGCCATAATTTGGTTCCACCACATCCTGACTACTACAGTATAGTTTTCTCTATTCTTTCATTTTCCCCTTCCCCATTCCTTTATTGTACATAAAGTAACTGTGTATGTGCACAAGCATATTGCATTTTTTAACTAAGTGGCCAATGGTATGTTTTGATCGACATCAAATGGAGATGGGATGGGGGAAAATACTGCTTCTGTGAAAATACCCCCTCTCTCCATTAGTGGCATGCTCAGTCAGCTCTTATCTTTGTATTCCAGTAAGTTATTTTGCTCTCACTGTTTAACAAAAAAAGAACAACATAAAAATCCCTGCATACCTTGTTCGATTGGAGAATTTTAATGTTTTTCATCTATCATTGTAAAACCAAGGACAATTTTATAACTTTTTTTTGTACGTAGCTATTACATGTAGGGCAATCTGTCTTTAAGTAGGGATAAATTACTCTAAAAGAAATGAATCCTAGATAGTTTTCCCTTCAAGTCAAGCATCTTGTTGTTTAAATAAACTTCTTGTTTGAAAAAAAAATACCGCCAGAATTTTTCACAGAGCTAGAACCAACACTCTTAAAATTGGTATGGAACCACAAAAGAATGTGAATAGCCATAGCAGTCCTTAAAAATAAAAGCAAAGCTGGAGGCATCACGTTACAGGACTTCAAGCTATATTATGAAGCTGTAGTGATCAAAACAGTATGGTATTGGCACAAAAACAGACACATAGATCAATGGAACAGAGTAGAAAACCCATAATTGGACCCACAATCTTCATCAAAGCAGGAAAGAATACCCAATGGAAAAAAGTTTCTTCAATAAATGGTGTTGGGAAAACTGGACAGCAACATATAGAAGAATGAAACTAGATCATTTTCTTACCCCATACACAAAAATAAATTCAAAATGGATGAAATACCTAAATGTGAGACAGGAAACCATCAAAATCCTAGAGAAGAACACATGCTATGACCTTGGTCATAGCAACTTCTTAATAGACATGTCATCAGAGGAAAGGGAAACAAAGCAAAAATGAACTGTTGGGACTTCATCAAAATAAAAATCTGCACAGTGAAGGAAACAACAAAAGCAAAAGTAGCCTACAGGATGGAAGAAGATATTTGGAAATGCCCCATCTGATAAGGGTTAGTATCCTAAATCTATAAAGAACTTATCAAACTCAATACCCAAAAGACAATCCAGGAAAGAGATGGGCAGACGACATGAATAAACATTTTCCCAAAGAAGACATCCAGATAGCTAACAGACACATAGAAAGATGCTCAACATCACTCATCATCAGGGAAATACAAATCAAAGCCACAATGAGATATCACCTCACACCTGTCAGAATGGCTAGTTAACAACACAGGAAACAATAGGTGTTGGTGAGGATGTGTAGAAAGGAAAACCCTCTTGCATTGTTTGTGGGAATGCAAACTGGTGCAGGCACTCTGGAAAACAGTATGAAGGTACCTCAAGAAGTTGAAAATACAACTACCCTATGATCCAGTAATTGCACTACCAGGTATTTACCCAAAGGATACAAAAATACTGATTCATAGGGGCACTTGCACCCCAATGTTTATAGCAGCACTATCCTCAATAACCAAATTATGGAAAGAACCTAAATGTCCACTGATTGATGAATGAATAAAGAAGAATTGGTATATATACACGATGGAATAGTACTCAACCATCAAAAAGAATGAAATCCTGCCATTTTCAAGGATGTGGATGGAGATAGAGTGTATTATGCTAAGTGAAATAAGTCAGTCAGAGAAAGACACATACCATATGATATTACTCATGTGGAATTTAAGAATCAAAACAAATGAACATCATGGGAGAGGGGGAAAAGAGAGAGGGAAACAAACCATAAGAGACTCTTAAAGATAGAGAACAAACTGAGGGTTGATGGAGGGAGGTCGATGGGAGATGCACTAGATGGGTGATGAGTATTCAGGAGGGCACTTGTTATGTTGAGCACTGGGTACTATATGTAAGTGATGAATCACTGAACCCTACTCCTGAAACCAATATTGCACTGTATGTTAACTGACTAGAATTTAAATAAAATTTTGAAAAAAAAAAGAGAGATCACTTCACACACACTAGATTGGCTTTAATCCAAAAGACAGCTAATAACAAGCATTGGCAAGGATTTGGAGAAATTGGAACTCTCATACACTGCTAGTTGAAATGTAAAATGTTTCAGCCACTTTGGAAAGCAGTCTGCTAGTTCCTTAAATGGTTAAACTTAGAGTTACCATATGCCTTAGCAATTCTAGTCCTAGGTACATACTTAGGAGAAATGAAAACATATCCTACACAAAAACTTGGACTCAAATGTTCAAAGCAGCAATTATTCATAAAAGCCAGAATGTGGAAACAACCCAAATATCCCTCAACTGATGAATGGTTGAATAAAGTGTGGCCTATCTGCACAATTGAATATTATTAAGTAGTAACAAGAAATGAAGTACTTGTACATGTTACAACATGGATGAACCTTGAAAGCACTTATACTCAGTGAAAGAAGCCAGTCACAAAAGACCACATCTTAGATGATTCCATGTATATGAAATGTTAGTAATTGGCAAATCTATAAATACATAGAGTAGATTAGTGATTGCCTAGGGCTGGGAGATATGTGGAAACTGGTGGTGACAGCTAAGGGGTACAAGATTTATTTTTGGACTGATGAAAATGTTCTAAAGTTGATTGTGGTGATGGATGCACAATTATGTGAATATACTAAATGCCATTTATCGTACATTTTCAATGGGCAGATTGTGTGGTATGTGAATTTTATCTCAATATGTCTTTCTTTTTAAAAAAGACACTAATAAAAAGTCTTGCTTAGAGAAAAAAATTCCTCTATCATGCGACACATCTGGATCATTGGGAGAGAAGAGGCCAAAAGATGGTAGAGAGAATGCTGGGGATGCCAGTGGGTAAATTACTTGTTCACAAGAACAGGTAATGAGAATGTTTGGCAGATTTACTCTCTAGGGAGTAAATTAATAGGTGGAATTAACCCAAGTTCAAAAAGGGCATTCTTAGCTAATTATGTTTATAAAAATCTGTCAGGTTTAGTAGCATGGTGGATATGTTTACAGAGTGGACTTACTATAACACTAATGAAGAAAACTTGTAAATTAAAACATTAAGTGTTTTAAATGTTTTCTTTGAATTAATGCATATTAGCAAAAAATCCCCCAGATATATCTGACTAGTTTATAACATACATCCTTAATGTATGGAGTTATAGCTAATTCCATTAATTTTTTCTGTGTATTGTTGTAACAGGATTAAAAATGCCTACTATCTGAAGCAGTTTTCTGTACTCTGTAGGTTCAAGAAGTGCTGTCTCTGGTGCTCAGACATGGGAAGGGGAAGGAAGGGTTTTGTTAAAGATTTTATGTATTTATTCATGTATTCATGGAGAGAGAGAGAGAGAGAGAGAGAGAGAGAGAGAGAGAGAGAGGCAGAGACACAGGCAGAGGAAGAAGCAGGCTCCATGCAGGGAGCCTGACATGGGACTCCATCCTGGGTCTCCAGGATCACCCCTGGGCTGAAGGTGGCGCTAAACCGCTAAGCCACCTGGGCTGGGAAGGGTCTTATTAAAATGCTAGTTAGTGGCTTTTGTATCAGGGTAAAAAATAATTCTGACCCAACTTGAAGAATCTGTCAATGCCAGTCTTGTTAAAGAGCTGATCATTCTCCTTAAACAATGCCATCCCCATAGGTTACCATGCTAATTGTTCAAATCCCAATTCTTCTAGTCAGTTCTTTCTGATTAAGAGGTCTGTCTGCCACTATCCAATCCTCACCTCTGCAATGCTGACACCTCATGGGCTGGTTGCATGGTGAAAATTGGAGCTGGAAGGCATGGACAATATTTTTAGTGCACATGATCTCTTCAGATAAACTAGAAAAATATTTCATTAAATTGAGCCATTTATATTAATTGGTTCATGTATATAATTTTTTTCTTCATGGAACAAATTGCCAACAGTTATATTAATTATATTCCCGTTTTACCAGTGAGTAAACTGAATTTTAGTGAGGTTAATAGGTTGCCCAAGAACCAGGGATCATTAAATAAGAAAAGTTAGTTCAAAAACTGCTTCTGTATCATACGATTACAAAGTTTATGTTCTTAACCATTATGTTTCTAAAGCATAGGCCACGGAGAAAGTGTCCTTATGTCCTTTTTTGACCAAAGCAGCTGTCATTTACACCTGCTGACCTAGTGCATTGCTAAAAATTTCCCCTATTTTCTCTAATGGTAGCTATAAGAGTATACCTTTCAAATATTCAGCTGCAGGAAGTATAATCTATCAATGACTTTTTCTGTCATATGGCTCCAGCATCAGACAAAGGAGGAAAACATAGAAAAAAACGGGAAAATTTGGGAGTCAGGATGGTGTAGAATACATCACTTCTGCCCACATTTCATTGGCCAGAATTCAATTACAAGGGATTCTGGGAAATGTAGTATAGTCATGTGACCAGAGTTCAAGAGAATATGGATTGGTGAAGAAATAGCCAGTGTCCTGTACAATCTGTAATACTTTTGTTATGCTTTTTATGTCTGACAGCTTACTCAGGAACAATCACTAGAAAAAAACCCTATTTATCTATTATATGGTCACAGATACAGAATCCAGGAGGTGTAAATGTTCATTTACTCTGGATTATCTTTCACTATATACAGAATCTGCTTCAGATGGCATCTTGGAGACCTCATCTTCTCTTTCTCTGTTCCCCAAATCTTTTGTCTCTTTTTCCCATGGTCACTTTGATACTTCTACACCTCTATTCTTCCCTAGCATTCTAGTGCTACCCTGAAGAGGAAGCATAACTGCTTGAGGTTCTAAAAATTCTTCCTTGGTGCTACAAAAAGGGAAGAAGAGA